CCTTTTTAGCACTACCTCTTAATTCTCAGGTGGACACATATTTTTTTCCTGGTGAGTCTCACATTCATACTTTCCTGCCTCATTCAATCTTATTTTAGGCGAGGTATACTGCCTGTGGTTGGAAACATCACTTTCAGTTTTTTCTTTAGAATGCTTTCTTATCATGTGACGTGCCAAATTACTTGATCGAGAAAACCTTTCTTGGCAAACATCACATTTATAAGGTTTCTCTCCTGTATGCGTTAATGAATGTCTCCTTAAGGAATTAGCCCGAGCAAATGTCTGCTGGCAAATGTCGCATTTATATGGTTTTTCTCCTGTGTGTATTCTCCTGTGTCTTGTAATAGCACCAGACTGGGTAAATACTTGATGGCAAATGTCACATTCATATTTTTCTTCAGCATGTTTATTTTTATGGTCAGCCAAATCAGTCATGAGAGAAAATCTCTGCTTGCAAATACCACATTCATAGGGTTTTTCCACACTGTGTGTTTTCTTATGTACATAAGGTGGCCAGATCGTGTGAATTTCTTGTTACATACATCACATTGAAATGGTTTTTCACCCGTGTGCGTTTTTTTGCTCCTCTAAGTGGGATGATCGAAAAAACCTTCCCTCGCAAATATCACATTTGTAAGGTTTGATTCCTGTGTGGGTTCTTTTATGTCTTACTAGATTACCCCTAGTCGAAAATGTCTTGCTACAAAACACCGCATTCCATTCTTGATTTGATTGAAAAGTAGTTTCAAATCCTTTCAATTGTATTTTGACAAACAATGCCAAGTGTTCTGCATAAAATGCGCCGCCATACTGAACGTTCTTGTAAGGTCACACAAACATTCATTTATTGCATTTCCGGATGATATACTTGTGAAAGTCGTAGTCCCTCTAGAGCATTTCTTTCTTCTTTGCGTATTTTTCTAGCAAACGATCCCTCATTTAAAAGAAAATAGGCGATCTTCTTTTGTACGATATTTAATTATTTATTCACAGATAATAACGTGACATTTCCGAATTGCAAAAATTTGCAATAACAACTTTTCGTATTTCGTAACAACTAGTGCTTCCACTATTAATATTCACATTTCATTTTCATTCCCACAGACAACAGATTACATAAATATGTAGATACAATGTTTCTACCTCCTCCGCAGGCCCTTTTCGGGCAAATATGGCGTCCGAAATCGCCCGAAATACTCCCTAGCGCCTGCGGAGGACCGAGGTACCAATGGTTTCATCAAATCATCAAATGGCATTAGAAAAGTTTACAGTAGATGTTGATCGTACCCGCTCCTCCACAGAGGTCTGACGATTTTTGTAAACACGATAGATTTGTTTTGTTTTATTTAGTTGTAAATATTTTGGCACAAAATATATATCTTTGGGTATAGAATAAAGTTTCCGAATGGAACAAGTTAAATTTCATGGTCCAAGGGTCTGCTCCCCCGGTATTTTGGAACGTACAAACGCTGAAACACCATTTCCTGCTTGGGTACTATGACGAAACTTTAACAGCTTTCACATAATTTAGGCAAGTTGATAAGTTGATTTCCACTCATAGCAGCGCGTAATCGAAAAGGGGAAATTGTTTTGTGGTGATTAAGCAGCGGCGTAGCCAGGATCACTGTTTTGGAGAGCCGAGATGCGAGCGCCGAAGGCGTGTGCCATACTAGGGGGGTTCGGGGGCATGCCCCTCCAAAAATTTTTTAAAAAATTTGCGACCCGCAAATGTGATTTCCTGCATTTTCCGCGTAAGATTTTGCAGAATAAAGTCAGGATTCTGAGGTCTATCTAGTGCATAAAGAACATGGTTTCCTCCCCCAACTTCGATTAAATCTCGGATTAAATTATGTACAGTTGCTATAAAAGTTAGTAAAGTTACAAACTTACAAAACGATAGAAGTGTTTCGTCACAATGCAAATACAAATAGTCAAAACGCAAATACAAATATAGTCACAATGCAAGTACAAATAGTCAAAACGCAAGTACAAATACCTTTCCTACTACCGCCTTTCGGGCAATTTCGATATAAGCATGCGTTCGGCCTCTAATTAAATGCGTTTTTCAATAGGATTATAAGTTCCAACCAAATTAACCAGTTTCAATGCAGGTATAGCATTCCAAATAATTATTAAAATACGGTTAAATACTATAAATTGCCAGCGAGTTCTCTTTAAGGGTATTCAACTGCGTGAAAAAAGGTTAAATGGCTGATTCTTCGAAATTTAAGATATATATATATATATATATATATATATATATATATATATATATATATATATATATATATATATATATATACATATATATATATATATATATATATATATATCTCAATTCGTAACCTTTTACCGACTATATTTGATCGTTCGATAATTTTCCGAACGAATAGTGCATTATTAAAGTCAAAAGTTGAACAAAAAATGATGTCTTTTGGGTTTTAGCCGAACCAACTTTTTTCGTCTCATACAAGTTCCGCCGAGTGTAGTTCTATCCAGTGAGAATGTCAACCATCGACTCCGTTTAGATTGCTGCAGCAAATGAAAGCCGGCATTTTAAATTTCGAAGAATCAGCCATTTAACCTTTTCGCACGCAGTTGAATACCCTTAAAGAGAACTCGCTGGCAATTTATAGTATTTAACTGTATTTTTATCATTATTGGAATTTATACCTGCATTGAAACTGGTTAATTTGGTTGGAACTTATAAACCTATTTGGAAACGCATTTAATTGGAGGCCGAACGCGAGCTTCTATCAAAATTGCCCAAAAGGTGGTAGTAGGAAGGGAAGGATTCGCTTTCAACACGGCGTTGTGATTATTTCTAGTTGCGTTTTGACTATTTTTACTTGCGTTTTGACCATTTGTTTGCGTTGCGACTATTTTTATTTGCGTTTTGACTATTTGTTTGCATTGTGTGTATAATTGTTCGTTTGCATTTAATAATGAATGCGTTGATTTATTTGTATTTATGCTATGGCCCTTTTGGGCCACCGTTTAAAGATCATGTGATGGAAAAAACCAGGGATTGTACTGCGAGAAAATGTCTCCAAGGTTTAGGTTTCCTTCTGAATGAAGGTCATGTGACGGAAATAACCAGGAATTGTATTACGAGGAAATGTCTATCACACTCTTCCGGGCTTACATAAGCACACATGTATAAAAGTCGATGTCACGTTCAGACCTTATAATACTCGAAGAAGGATGTAATCGTCAACAATGCAAGCCTTTGAATCCTGACGACAGAGAGACAAGCTTTTTTGGTAAGAATGTATATTTTGATTGTTGAAGTGTACTGAAATAATGAAATAACGGGTCGAAAAAAGCGTCGACCCAAATTAATCAATTTATTTATACATACAAGCACAGGATTTTGGTGAATCGTATTTCCACAAATAATATTTTCGCCAAAAACAACTCGATCGAAATATAATATAAGAATTAATGCCGGCATTCTAATGGTGACTTGATCGAAGTAATAATAAGAAAATAAATCATCACAACTGCATCCATACATGTCCAATACTGTCGCATGCATACGGATTGACCACCTTTCACCATTCGTAAACTACATTTTCGTTTCGTGACACTTTTCACGGATCGATACTGATGGTAAAACGGGACATACAAATGGACTGAATCCCGACTGACCCTTACAAATTTCACATAACATTTCCCATATGAAATAGGAGTTTCATATATGAAATGATCATTTTCATATATGAAATGAAAGACTTCATATATGAAATTTGATTTTCACATAAGAAAAGTGACTTTCATATATGAATTTTATTTTTTTTAATATTAGTTTTCCTGTGTAAAAAAACAATTCATACATGAAATTTTTGGCTTCTCCGATGAAATAATTTAAATTGTGTATGACGTTTATTTTCACATGTGAAAAGTAAATTTCATATAGGAAATGCTAGTTTCACATATGAAATTTTGGTTTCACATATGAAATTTTGGTTTCACATATGAAATTTTTGTTTCATATATGAAATTTTAGTTTCACATATGAAATTATTTAAATATCATATGAAATTTTACGTTCACATGTGAAAAATAAATTTCATAATATGAATTGCTACTTTCACATATGAATTTAAATTAATTTTTAATGAAGTTTTTCTATATGTAAAACGATTCGTACATGAAATTTTGGCGTCTCCAATCAAATAATTTATACCGTGTATGACGTTTATTAGTTTTACATGTGAAAGGTGAATTTTCATATATGAAGTGCTAATTTCACATATGAAATTTTTGTTTCATTTGTCAAATTTTGGTTTTTCACATATGAATTTTTTTAAATATCATATGAAATTTTACGTTCACGTGTGGAAAATAAAGTTCATAATATGAATTGCTACTGTCACATATGAATTTTAATTTATTTTTTTATATTACGTTTTCCTATAAGTAAAACGATTCATACATGAAATTTTGGCTTCCTAAGTAATAAAATGATTTAAATGGTCACCATTCATGTCATTAAATTTCACCTGTACATGTGAAAAATAAATTTCATATATGAAATGCCAGCTTCACATGTGAAATTTGTTTCACATATGAATAATTAAAAGCTGATACATATGAAATTTCACCTTCAAATGTGAAAAGTAAATTTCATAAATATGAAATTTCTTTCACACGTGAGATTGTAAAAAGTTCATAATTTATCAGTCTTCATTTTCATAACACTTTTGCGTATTTTAACATATTACCCATCTGGGTTTTGATATAAAAGGAATTTGGTTACCTAGGAAATTACTTTCGAGCGCAAAGCTGTTTATGAAATGCCTTGGTCGCTACAGGGACGTTACAAGAAGCGGGCAACACAAGTTGTATCTCAAAATTCGTGATGCAGTTGCATCTCAAATTCTTAATTGGACTGTCAAACGTGTTTACTGGTCAAATCCCACTAAAGCCTGTAGTGTTCTTGTATTTATTTTATTTAAAGCGCCTGGGAGCGAGGATGACCCGATTACTACCCGAAGAGTCCTCGATCGGATTAGTCGGCATTGCTCGTAAACGGTCCGTGCTTCGGAAGAACGTCTCATATTACATCACGTCTCAAACTTTCTGCTGGCTTTCGTAAATATGGTTTGGGAAACTTGTTTTCGCGTAAAAATTTAATATATATCCGTGTGGAATAGTCCAAATATAGATATAAATGGGACATGTGGTTAAGCTGTGGTTAAGCTGTGTTCATGTGGTCTAAAGAATGGTTTTAAAGAAGTTGTCAGGTATTTTATTGTGTTTGTGTTGATCAGCTTGACTTGATTATATACATTATATATAAATCACGGTAATCACAGATGAATCACGGGCAATTTGTTCAATTTATATTGATTACTCTTAATCCTTTTTCATATAACAGTAATATGAAAATACGAGGGAATTTATATTGTTCCTTATGACTTATGTTATTTTTTACACATGAAAGTATAAGTATTGATGGGTCAGATGGGAAAGCCATGTCTTGTCTGAGTCTGACTCAAAATCATTGCATACAGTCATCAATCACCAGGAATGACAATCAGTGGGATTAGATTTTAAAATTTTGTGGTTTTCAATTAGCTGAAAATTAAGATTTGTTCACAATGAACTGACCAGAGTACTGTTGTTGCAAAATAATGTTGCAAATAATGTATTGGTCATTCATTTGTTTTTTTTTACAATGACCTATTAGCTGCATGATCTGGTAATTGAACTTTACAAGAACTTTGGTCTTTCAAAGATAGACTTGTGTCCATTGCACATCATGGCCTATTGAATGAATGCTAATAACATATTGACAAAATCTGTAAGAACTAGTATACAAATACATTGTATAATAGTAACACAATTATTTTTTTTGCTCTTAGTTGATGCCTACACCACCTGCTTGGGTTGAAGTGGACCAAGCCAAAAATGAATAAAAATAGACAAATATACTGTTGGCAGCCATTGAGTTAGAAACACACCAGGAATCATCTGTCTTCGGCTGGCAAGGAAAATAAAGACAAACAACTTGATCTGGCTAAATGATAAAAGGTATGTATATACCTTTTCTATATTTATATTATGATTAATAGCAACTGGCATGATTTTCCCTTAGCCATAGAAGCTTTATATACTAAAGTTGTGATAAAGCTGGTAAAAATTTGTGTTGCTAGGAATAGTCTTGTATGATGAAATTAGTTTATAATAATTTTGAAAGTGAGATAACCTAAGTGCATTTGAATAAACTGATATATTTACTTTTTATTAGAATGTGTGAGGCAGAGCAGCAAAGATAGTGAAAAGGAATGCTGTGTGCAAACAGATGAAGGATGAAATCATGAAAAAATGGCATGCAAAGGAAAAATAATAATTGAACTTGATAAGTGTTCTTCTTTAAATGTTAGCCAAATTGTTTTTTTTAATTGTATACGTAAATATGTGTATGTATTTAAAATGATTAACTTTTGTATTTAGATTTTTATTGTATAAACCCTCTTAAGTTTTAATCCAATAAATGTTCAATCCATACATTGAAATTCACTCATGCAGCCATTTTATTATCTTCTAACTATTTCATATGTGAAACATTTCATTTTTGAAATCTTTTCATATATGAAATATTCTTGGGTAAAAATCATATATATGAAATGATTTCACATGTGGAATTTTCATATATGAAGTGTTTCAATTCCACACAAGGTTTCATATATGAAATATTTCACATATGAAACAATTTCACATGTGAAATTTTCATATATGAAACAATTTCACATGTGAAATTTTCACATACGAAACAATTTCACATGTGAAATTTTCATATATGAAGTGTTTCAATTCCACATAAGGTTTCATTCATATATGAAACATTTCATATGTGAAATCGTTATGTGAAATTTTTGTAAGGGGACGTACGAACCGTACGAATGGAAAAAACCCAGTTACCATTTGTAAATTTATTAACGAGTGCGCTCCTTTGGAGTACGATATCCGCATACACGCACGAAACGACTGTCGATTCGTTCAATCCGTACCAACCGTACGAATGAAAAACGTTCATATACCAATCGTAAAAAATTCATCACAGCACCGTTTCCGCTATACGTCTAACCCCCTGTGGAGTACGATATTCCCATACACAAAACGACTGTCGATTCGTACCATCCGTACCAACCGTACGAATGGAAAACGTGCATTTACCAATCGTAAATAACACCGTTTCCGCTATACGCTTAAATCCCTTTTGAGGACGATACCAATACACGAGTTTTTAAAAATAACTCGCTAGATACCGCTTCAATATATTTTACCCAAGATATGCCTTATCAATTAAATAGACTATTTACTGATATATAATATTCCTCGTTCTCAAGAAAAACACGAGCAATATAACATGTTGTTATTAAAAGCCACAAGATATCACTGCAATATATATAGCGCACAAGATATGCATATCTATCAGTAAAATAGAACACTATATAGGTATATGTAGCATTCCTCGTTCTCAAGACAAAAACGAGCGATATACGCGCATTCTCGATAAAAGCGACCAAACACAAGCATTCTCGATAAAACCTGCATGCATGCAATGTTCCCCCGCATGCAATAACTGTATATGCGTCATACATCACAAAGCTTTACTTTACTATAAATACATGCATGCATGCAGCAATCAAGATAACTGCCTGTATTTGCCTGTATATGAGTGTTAATTTTTATATGTAGCTAACATTCCTCGTTCTCAAAAAAAACCCAGTAACGATTAAATAGTGCATGTATATTTTTAATGGAAAACTTTCATTTACCAACCGCTATACGCATAGACATAGATTCCCTTGGAGTATGAAATCAAAACACGCATTGCTAAAAAACCCCGCTAGATATCACTTCAATGTAATATTATGGTACCCAAGATATTCCTATCAATACAATAGTCTAATTATATATGATATTGATCCTTCGTTCTCAAGAAAAATACGAGCAATGTAACATGCGTTGTTATTAAAATCTGCAAAATGTTAATGCATTATACATAGCACACAACTTCACAAGATATGTCTATTAATAAAATAGAGATGTCTTTAAGTTAAAACTTTTTAAGACAAAACGTTAGAAATGTATTTTTTTAAACTCTGAATTGTTTTGATGGCTTTCATAATTTTATAATTATGTTGGTTTTATAATTATGTTGGGCATATTTATCATAAGAAGTCGTTTTCCGCCTGGCAAATCTCTAGCTACGATATTAAAATAGACTTGTTATAGGTAGCTACTATAGCGACGAAACAATCCATTCGAAAATGACATAAGGAGGGCAGCCGTTATTGAAAAGGAACAGCGTTAATTTAAACGTATCTTTATCACAAATTGTTTTCGATCGACACCTTTTCGGAGACAAACCTTAGTTAAATTACTTTATTTACAAATGGACAAAAATCTGTTTACGGATCGTAAACGAACAGTCCATTTGATACCAATGCCATTGGTCCAATGGTACGGATCGACAAGCTTTTCAGAGCCCTATCCTAGACACATCTTCCCTATATTTACGAATCGACACAGTCTGTTTACGGATCGTAAACGAACAGTCCATTCGACACCAATGGTACGGATCGACAAGCTTTTGAGAGCCCTGTCCTAGACACATCATGCCCTATTTACGAATCGACACAGTCTGTTTACGGATCCTAAACGAACAGTCCATTCGACACCAATGGTACGGATCGACAAGCTTTTCAGAGGCCTATTCCAGACACATCTTCCCTATATTTACGAATCAACACAGTTTGTTTACGGATCGTAAACGAACAGTCCATTCGATACCAATGGTACGGATCGACAAGCTTTAGAGGGGTCTGTAGCTTCGCACATCTCCTTTTTACCAATGGACAAAATCTGTTTACGGATCGTAAACCAACGATCCATTCGATACCAATGGTACGGATCGACAATCTCTTCATCGCCTTATCTTATAGACACAACTTGCCCTATTTACAAATGGACACAGTCTGTTTGGGGATACAGCTGTTTACGCCTTAGACACACGCTAGTTTCCATGCCTCATGTTCTAGTCGGCAAAATGCGTTTACGAATCGACATAGTCTATTTACGGATCGTAAACTAAGATACTAATCGTGCGAATGATTGCTTACTTCTCACGAATAGAAATGCCTAAACCACTTTACCATCCGTATAAAAAAATTTACGAAACGAACGACCCGTATGCTTGCAACAGTATTGGACAACCATCCACAACTGAAAGAGCGTACTTGAATTAGTGCAAATGCAAAGTTTGGCTGTGAAATTTGGTGAATTAGAGAAAATATAGCCATGCGAGGTTGGCAAATTTGTATACTTTTGTATTACGTGTGGAAATGATTAACTAAATTAGTTACAAACATCCAGCCGTAATACAAAAGTATACAAAATTCGACAACTTCGCATGGCTATATTTTTCCCTAATTTACAACAATTCGCAGCCAAACTTGGCAGTTTTACTAATTTTGGCAAGCTCTTTCAGAAAATTTTCTTTTTATCGCTCAGATAGGAAATTAGTCTAAAGCACATTAACGAAAATGCTTACAGTCTAACTCTGCCTTGCTTTCTTATGTTACAATACCCCCGTGTTAAATTATTAAATTAAACAAACGGATCAGAATAAATTCACCTCTCGGATATTTCAATTAGCAATTGCTCTTGCTCGTGTATAATCGTAAGTCGTTGAAGGATTTGATCATGATTATAAGTAAAAATGTCATGCAGTCATATATAAATCAATATAGTAATATAGGCTACAATATAATAGGAAATCAAAGTCTAATATTCTGAAAATGAGCAACTTAAATTTCCGATCGGTCAAACCTTTCATCAAGGCTTCAGAATGTCACTGAATGTTTTTTTCGAGAGCCAGGCCAACCACAAGTCAAAACTTGCATACAAGGGAGGCTCAAAGTGAGAAATATTTTACATCCCAAGTTGTGGCAAAAGTTACATCGTCGAGTTACACCTGATTGAATGTTCATCGGCAACCTCGGAGCTGGTCATGTGACCGAGGCTAAATTGAATTCCTTTGGGGGCGAGGTGAGAGTATCGTGTTACACTTCGTTAGCCTGTTCGCAGGCAACCACTACATAAACAAGCACGAGAGCGTCATCGATGCTGGACTACATAACCTTAAAACTTGTTTAGAATTTGCTATTTTAAATAGCTTTGTATACAAAGAAGTTATATTAAAACCAAAGCAAGTTCTTTGCCTGGAAAATACTTATTTACAAAAAGTTGTGATGTGTGTTTTGCCAACGGGCTTTGGGAAGTCTTTGATTTTCCATCTGTAACCAGTGCTGTTTTTTGCGAAGTCAAAGCTGCTCGACCACGTTCGATTGCGAGGTATGCTTAAAATAGACAAATCGGCTGCTTAGAATAGACAAAATCTTCTCAAGTTAAGGACACAACATTTGATCAAACGTATTTAAACATAGTATTCAAGTTACATATATTATAAATACGCATGGATGATAGCCATTTCCGTCAACAATACAAAAACTTGAAACCAACTTTGCAGTTTTACAAAAACTTGCCAGACCGTTGCAACCAACTTCGCAGTTTTGATATAATTTTTTCCCGAATAAAGAAGCCGAGTCCTCGTAATTAACATCTGCGGTCGTGGGATGTTCGGTTTTCCTGGAAGATTTATTTTCATGTAAAAATTGACTTCCTTCTGTAGGGAAGTGAAAAGATAAAAATTGGTAGAATTTTTTTTCGGGGAAATGCCTCTCATACTGGATTAAAGTTTATCAAATGATAGACTGAAACGTAACGTCTGCATGGTTTGCATGTGCCCAACTAAAGAAGATGTGTCATCCGCGGTTGTGGGATGTCCTGTTTTCGTGGAAGACTGATTTGATATTATATGTAAAAATGACAAGATAAAAATGAAGCAGAATTGTACTAAAAGGAAATGCTTCCAACGTTTAAACTCCCCTCGGTTTAAATTCAATGTCAAGTGATGCCCTGACTTCGTCTCATTGACAAAAATAAAGCACAAAATAACATTTTTACATGCTATGATAATGCGGACTACAGATTTCGGTCAGATTCTGGCGCAGCGGTCATGAAGTAGTCCCCTCGGCATTTCGAAGTTCGAAAAAAATTTTGGGACTCGGAGCCATTCTCTGCCAGATTCAACCTGATGGCTCTTCCCGCCCAGTTGCCTATGCCAGCCGCTCCCTCAGGGATGTGGAACGCCGATACAGCCAGATCAAAAGGGAAGCTCTCGGCGTCAAATTCGGTTGTTTAAAATTTGACCATTACCTAAGCGGTGATGCCGATTTAACCGTCATTACTGATCACAAACCTCTGCTGGGTCTGTACAAGCCTTGGTCCCGCCCTCCCCTAACCATCGAACGATGGGCCTTACGCATTCAACATCTCAACTTCCAGCTCTGGTACGAACCCGGCCCGAAGAATCCGGCGAACGTTTTCTCTCGACAACCGACCCCACCACGTGCCCACGTCAGCTCCAGCGAGCGCAAAGACACTCGGGTAATCAATGCCATTATTTCCTCCTATCTCACAAGGGCGTGTACCCTCGAACAAGGTCAGAAAGCCACAGCCAAGGACACGACCCTTCAGGCCGTCCTCGCAGCCCTACAGTCGGGTTCTTGGAGTAAGGACCTCGCTAATTTCTACCCTCATTGGAACGAACTTACCACCTCACAGGACGTTCTCCTTCGCAGCCGTCATATAGTGATCCCTCACGCCTTACAACATCGGGTTTTGGATCTTGCACATCAGGACACCAGGGTATAGGGAAAACGAAAGCCCGTCTACGCACCACTAACCCCCCCCTTCCAGAGCCCCCTGGCTCCTCGTAGGAATAGACTTCACCGGCCAATTTCCCACTGGAGAAAATCTACTCGTCTTGGTGGACTATTATAGTCAGTAACTGGAGATAGAGATCATGAAAAACATCACAGCAACGGCACTGGAGCCACGTCTCCGACGCATCTTTGCACGGTACGGGTTCTCCCAAGAAATAGTCACGGACAATGCCAAAATCTTCTGCTCCTCCAGTTCGCCAACCTCATGGCAGAAATCTGAATGAAACACCGAAAGATAACCCCTCGTTACCCGCGCGCCAACGGAGAAGCAGAAAGGCTAAACCGCAGTGTCACAATGTAGTGAAGACGGCAGTCGCCGAATCAATGACTGGCTACTGGCGTACCGTACCACTCCTGGCGCAGTTACCGGACAGCCACCGGCAGACATCATGTTTGGACGCAGCATTCAAGACAAACTTCCATCCCTCACCTCAACGTCCGTGACCATTGACCACAAGAAGTACCGTTAGCATGATAGGAAAAGTAAGAAAACTTCCAAAGAGTACCACGACAGGAAGACAAAAGCCCGCCATCATTCAATTAAAGTGGGTGATTCCGTGCTCAAACGCTCTGAAAAGAAAGGTAAACTGACATTCCATGGCATACGACAACGTTCCGAGTCACAACCGTAAAAGGGGATCAGTCACAATCGAGAACGATAGGCAACGCTTTATGCGCCACACTTCTGATGTCAAGAAAGTACCGACTTCAGACACTGCAAAATCCGACGTCACCTCCGATGCCAAGAAAATGCCGACTCCAAACACGGCTGATCCTAAACCATCTTCAGCAGGCATTGGCGAATCAAGGACCGGCCGATCAGCCTGGCAGCAGCCAGCTTATTATGGTTTCCCTCCAGTCAAATGAAACGGACCAGTCCTCCTGTGATCCAAAAAGGGGAGAACTGTAGTGACTGTTACATGAAGTATAAATAACGCAGGCATAGGTCAGCGGGCTTGAGAAGCTCAATGAACTCAAGCGAGAGGACTGACATGTTGACATTATTTTAACACGGGTTCTTCATATTAATGTGCAAGAATTTTCTCATAAAATAAAGAACATCTTCGCACACAACACATCGGAATAAATATCAGAACCATTTTCATCTTAAAATTAAGCTAGTACATTTAAATCCAAGTAACAGAAGCCTGCAAAATATCGTTCAAAATTGGATCCGTTCATTTGAATGGCTGTTGTCATACTGGATACACACTTGTGTTGTTCGAAATTGGAAAACGAATTTGGAAAACTAGAGAAACACACCTCGGAGCCAGCTGGGCATTCTCCCAACAATATATTACACTCATGACATAAAACTATTCCAGACTTTCGTGAATTCTTTAATATTAATTATAAGCCAAATTTCCTCGTTCACTGAGCTCAAATTTCAGTTTCTAATTTTACAGGGGAAGCGAAGCAAATTATTATGGATGAACCTGGCCCAAGTCACGCAAGTTATTGCAATGGTATGAAACTATGTAGCAATATAACCCAGAATTGAAATTGTTAAGTTTAATTCAGAAGATTTGTAAAGGAGAATTATTCCAGCTTTCGTGGTAGCCGTATATAAAAATTTTGGTATTAACAATTATAATTAGAGTCCTAAAATTATTAAAGTGATTATTTGGTTTATGTAATCTAACTTGTAATTTAGCAGGAGTGCCGCGTTCGAGATATGCGACGAATACTTCATACGATCCACTACAGAAGGTAAAATATTTTGAAAAAGTTATTTTTTTCCAATAAATGTTTTACACTCACAGACTGAACGTTTTAACAACTGATTATATAAATATAGGCTTTCGTCATATGCTTGATGCACTGGCAGGTAAAAGAATAAGGAGCAATACTTCAGAGGTATTGACATATTAATAGTTGTCGTGTAAACAGAAGCTTTGTTAACATTTTGCCATATTCATAAAATATGTAATGTCAGAATAATTAGCGGGTGTCCTAGCGGATACTGTCCTCCGCAGAAAGTATCCCCCCCAGACAAGATCCCCGGTCGAAAAAGGTCAACACAAGTCTGATAAAATTATTTCAATTTGGTCTCTTCATCGTTACTTCTATTTTCTAGTTTGGGACTAAGCAGCTCTTGGAGATATCAAAACAAGCATTGAAGAAAGGAGAGATAAATATCGCAGAACAATATGCTGGAAGAGCAATACGAAAAGAGAAATACGAAGATGCATCAAAGGAGAGAAACCCAGAACCTTATTTTCACTTGGCTGAAGTCCTAAAGCAGAAAGCGTCAGACGAAACCGTCCTGTTACCTCAAAGACAAAAATTATTACTGCAGGCTGCGTCGCTGTACAATTTCGTAGGAAATTGTTTTAATAAAAGTGCTGTTGAATCTAAAAGCGAATTTGCGACGAGTCATGAGAATGTTTTACCTGGGAAAATTTTAGAAGTTCAAGAAAGTCTAATCGTAGCCACTCGAGGAGACCGCTTGCGCTGTAGATTTAATCCTGAAAGTAAGAAGATTGCCATAGAACAATTACGAGAGGAGGCTAAGAGAGAACTGAGAGTTATAAATGCCAAATACGATGCTAAAACTGGTAATGAGGAAGATCTTCGGAAATTGTTTATCAAGCAAACCGCGGATGTAAAAGATTTATACAAAAAGATTGCATCAAAACTGAAACAGTTTTTTGCAGAAATCATTCAAGAGTGTTTAGAAGTCTTGGGTGAACTGCCATGCGAATACGAAGTCATTCTACTTGGATCATTATCGAGAGAAGAGATGACACCATATTCTGATCTGGAGTGGGCTATACTAACCAGATCTGATGACGAACAGTCTAAAATATTCTTCCGCAATTTAACCAATCTTGTTCATTTACAGGTAGCTAAAATTCCAAATTTGACATTCAATATCGTATAATTATAATATTTTTATAATTATGTAGTTGACATTTAATGGTTTCAATCCACCTAATAAGGTCTTACAATGCAAAAAAAAATAGAAATACCATGTAAGCTGACATGCACGAAATCTAGCTAATTTCAGTATCAGAAATTAGTGAAAAAATAGTCGTCGTTTGTGTAAAAATTTGCTCTTCATCCACATACATACACTGTAATGGTTTTCGAGTTCTACTGTAAAATACATTGAGTGAAAATATTAAACGCAAAATCGTCGTAACCACAGACTTCGGGCATTGTTTGCCGATTTGTAGATCGATAGAGCGGCCGTTTCGAGACGTCTTTATCACCGATTATTTTAACGTCGACATTTCCGACGATCGAACAAATCAAACCTAATGATTTCGATATTAATGCCGATGAAATTATCAAATGAAACACAAATATTTTGATTCGAATAGTTGGTTAATTTACGTTTAATGTACCGCGTTAACGTTGTTCAAGATATTGCCTCTTGTAACCGCGATATTCATTTTTCTGTACGGTTCGGACAAAATAATCATGAAAAAAATAAATGACAAACAGTTTAACCATGGAAAACCTAGCTATATACATAGTTTGGAGAACAATCAGATGGCAAAATGTAGAGTGAAATACTCAAGGAGTCAATCACCAACATATTGCCACCGAAAGACTGTTCTACTGATCCAGAGGCACTGGTAAGCAAACAGTGGACCAAGGTAACGGCGATTTTAGGTTTTCGATTTATATTTTTACCCAATGTAGCTATTTCATAGCAAACGTTGAATGTACTTTGTATGGATGAGACGAAAATTTTTGATAATGTATATGTTACACACAATTTCTCCTTGTAATAATTCCCTACTTATTATATAATGACGAGCTGATCAGTATACAGTAGGCGTACAATATACGAGTTATGACCATGCGTTCAATAATAATAACAGTTTTCTGTGGTCTTCAACTATTTGCAGGTAATCAACCTTGGAGAAACCATCCTTCCTTGCATGGATATTGAAGTATTAAGAGGAGCATGGTTTTATGATGATGTAACTCCAAAAGGAATTTCCTTCGATGGCCTTCTTGATCAGGCAAGCAAGACTCCTTTGGGTAACACAGACGATTTTGAGCTCATTCACAACCCCACTGAAATGGCAAATTTTCAGAGCAACTTTTGGTACAAGAAGGATCCTTGCCTCGGTAAGTTTCATTTCAATGTGTAGAAAGCAGGTGGTTGTATACCAACACGTCATACTGAACGCCACCACCCTATACAACCCAGACTTCTCGCTTCTGCCGTTGTGAAGAGTAAAAATAGAGATTTGATATTGAAACCTTATTTTTTATATATTATATCATTATTAGGTGAAATCCTTTTGAATGTTGCGCCCCTGGACGAAAGCAGACATGCTTTACTGGATGAATATAAGATGGAGCTCGAGAAGATATTGAGCGAACCATGTGACTTGGATAGCTGTGCTCACGATGGATTAAATACCAGACCGACAAGAGGATCTTGCCGAGGACTGCGCACGCTCCAAGAGGACATATCCAGATATAAACCATTACTACATGGCCTAACTTCAGAATACTGTTTTAAACCAGAGTGCTCGAAAAGGTTGTTAAATTACGATGGGCAATTGTTTGATATCAAGAAAACAATCTATCGTTTAACAGATCGCGTGGTGGTGGCCCTTTCAAATGTTTTCGAAGTAGGAGGAAAAGGATCATTTGAGGCTCTTGACAAGTTGTGTGAGAGGAACGTGATCAGTCCAAGTGCCAAAGATAACGTAGCCAGTGCTGTAGCTATTGCGTTGAAGATGAGGTTGAGTACTTATCTTTCTGCTGGGAAACAAGAAGAGACAATAAAAGGGACAACAGGGAACGCTACATCTGCTTACCATATACCTACAGAAAAAGAACTGTTTCATTTTTTCTATGTGTCCAGTCCACTGTTTGAATCGTTGCTTCGCTTGGGTGACGACGTTAAGAACCGCTCAGAAGATTTAGCACAAACAACGTTCTTCAGTTTCTCTGATACCGTAAAAGGCCACATTCACTGTCGTCTTTTAAATTACAAGGCCGCGTCAGAATGCTATAAGCGTGCACTTGAAAATGACCCGGGGAATAGTGGCATAGAAATGCGACTGCACCAAATTGAGGCTTTGCTAAGCGTTAGCACGGACGGTGGAGATATTTGGGATACTTACTTCACGACGCCTTTCTTAACTACATTTGTCTCTGATGAACGTAATATTAATGTTGTAACTGAAATGAATGAAAAAAATTACGCCAAAATAAAGCGGTGGGGTATAAGTGTCGAAACGATTGCTGATTTAAACAAGCTGGCGGTATTACTCATGTCCCAGAAAACCGGCGAAGCTTACAAATGTCTGCAGCGAGCATTTACAATGGAGCAAACTATTTTTGGCGATAATCCTAACCCACATTCTGCCTTAACTTCGGCATTGCTTGGAAAATTGTCCAGTAGCTGGGGAGAGAGAATCTTCTATTTCGAGCATACGCTTAAACGCCTTCCATTTTCAGAAGAGAAAGAAAATTTAACGGATGCGAGATGTGATATCTACGGCATTTTGGCACAATCCTATATCAACACGAGAAATTTCGAGCAAGCGAAATTATACTCAAAAAAAGGTTTAGATTTGATTAAAACAAGTGCGAAAAGTAAAAACAGATCACACTGCTCATTTTTGAGCTTATTAGCAGGGATTTCGGTAATTGAAGGGAAATTTGAAAATGCATTGGAACACTTAAGAAAAGTTCAAGAAATTTTAAAAAATACCGTAGGAGATGAATGCATCATTGCCAGAACGACGAGGTCTGTTGCACGCATGTATAGTAGTTTGGGTAAAATTGACGAGGCAAAAGAACTACTTCTACGTGGACACGAAGAAGCACAAGACACACACAAAATGAATTACCTGGACGCTCTTGGAAGTTTATGTTGGAAGCAAGGTCTAGCGGAAGAGGCAGAACAACATTATAAGGAAGTGTTAAATCAAATAATCGAACTGGCGTCAGCGAAAAAATTCATCATCGTATCAACCCTCTTAGTTCTCTCCAAGATTGTAAGTGAGAACAAGCCCTCTGAAGCAATCAGCTATCTGGAACAGGCTGCAAAATATCTTTCCGATCTAAATGACAACGACATAAAATTTGTGTTCCTGAAAAAAATCGCTCTGAGGTGGGAAAGTCTGAAAGACTATACCAAAGCTTACATGTACCTGAATAAAGCGCTCAAATTGTGTGGAAAATCAGAGTTAACCTCGGAGATGGAGTTACGACGTGAAATTGGTCTACGCGTTAAACTGGTAGGCTTGCTTAAAAAGGTAAACTCGTTGCCAGGGACTGGGGAGAGTTCAATAACTCATAAACAAATGAAAAATGAACAACGACAGCACTATGAAAAAGCTTGTGATCTATTGCAAAAATATTTAGCGTCAGGCAGTTTAGACTGCAGTGGCATTAATATGCCTATTAATATGTCAGACGAGTTATTTAGTCCTTATTGTTTGTGCAGAAGTGAGGAGGTGGAAACCGAGAGTATTAACGAAGAAATTTGGAGATACATCAACGAGCTTTCCAACGCTTTTGATGAGTTTGAAAACGAGAACTGCATCTCCGTATCGAAAACAAAGGAGTATCAAGAGCGTTTAACTTTTAAACGCTCAAAATTTTCCCGCGATGAGCCAGGGGAGAACACAGAAGTATACTGTACGAGCGCGCACAATAAAAGAATAGAATGTTCTCTTGTATCAGATTACGATAACGCCTGCGTTTTAGCAAGATCTATTCTGTGTGACAGTAATCACAGTTACTTAAAAACGAAAGAAAAATCTTTTCTTTCTTTGGTGGAATCGTTGCCAGAAACGCGCTCCTGTGTCAATTTTTTTATAAAAGAAGCAGAAAACGCTAAAAACAAGAAGGACATTCACCAGATGATTGTTTTCCTTGAACTAGCTTCCAGCCAGGCGTCGGTTATCGAAGATGAGGCAAAAATTTTCAAATTGGTCGGAGAATGTCAACTACACCTGCAAAGTTACAGAATGGCAGAGATCAGTTTTAGGAAAGCAGCAGACATTTTTCGATCAGTAGAATCATCATCTGAACTCGACATTAAAGTTTTTTATATGGAGAGTTTGATTGGTCTGGCCAAGAGTCGCATGCTTTGTAATGATGTGGAAAATGCATTATGCGCATGCGAGGAAGGTTTGCGGATTGAACCTCAACTGACGACATCTATATTTTTAGAGAAGAGAATTGAGTTGCTTTATTTCGATGCAAGATGTTCGTTTCTGCAAATCACGAGTTCTACTCCCAGAACACACCTCGAATGTTTGTCTGAGAAGTTGGATACACTTCATCACCACATACATACTAATTTGGAAAATGACTTTTATGCGTTCAGCGAACAGTTAATTCTTTTTCCAAATATTTTGGTTATGAAAGTATTCATTCTCTTCCGCGTTGCGATATCAGAAGAAGGACGAATGAACGCACGACAGTATGCAAAACATTTTGCTGAAGAACACTTGAACGTGGAGAAGTATGGAAATACCAACGTGTTAAAGAATTCTGAGGTTGAAAATACCAGACGCACGCTTCGTCGTTTCCATTCCTGTTTAGGTCAAATTTTAGTGATTCAGGAAACGGAAAATGCAGAGATTTTTTTAAAAAAGTCTTTACCTGATTTTTTTGTTCCTGTTTTCACTGGCACAATTATACCGTTGGACGAGATCATCCCATTGTTAGATGCAATTACAGCAACCAAGGCCGCCTCATCATCCGCACAAGAACCACACAGCCTGTTCCAGCAAACCCTGGAATTATGTAGGGACGAATACCTGAAGGTAAACGACAATCCAGTTCCACTCCTTAATTTTTTCCGAAATCTGGGTAATCACTATGTTGACGGGGGAGGGACTGAGAAAGCCACTTATGCCTATGAAGCTGGATTAGAGGTCGTCGATCACCTGATCTCAGACGCTGCAGACCAAGTGAACGCTCGGGGTGAAATGATGCTGCACCTTGCCAATATGCACAGAATTCAAGCTTTAGAAAACACAGGAAAAGGCGAAGTGGAAGAAAGTCTCTTGGCAGAAAAATACTACAAGTTTGAAAATGGCAACGGGACTGAAAAGAGTAGTATTCATAAATACATTATGTATGCTAACTTTCTGTGTGACGAAGGGCGCTTTGAAGAAGCCATTGTCGTTCTAAATCAAGCAATTCAAGCAGGCGACAAGCTGTGGTCAACCACCGTCATTTGTTCATTTTCACAACGTGTTCTTTATGGATCAGATGTCAAAAAATACATTGAATCTGACGGTGAACTGCTCACAAAGATGGGAAACTTGGCGTACACATCACTAGTTCGCGCGTATGTTCAACTTGGAAACGGAAGAGAGGCATGCAAAGCGTTAGACACATTGATAACAAATGGCGAAGATTTGCCTCGCAGTGCAATCTACACAACATCCTGTCTTTCACATCTTGTTGCCTTCTGCCAGAAATATTTAATGTCACTTATTGAGGATCCCTCGAAATTATCATTTAACGATTCAGAATTTCCACTGTCATCCGAAAATTTCGCGAAATTGTACCACGAGCTGGGAGAATTCGAACTGGCGCTTAATTTGTGTGAGAGGTTAAAAAAATCTTTGGTTGGCTTTTTTGTTCCTGCTTCCACCGGTACGATTGAACCATTGAACGAGATCATCCCGTTGTTAGATGCAATTACAGCAACCAAGGCCGCCTCATCATCCGAACAAGAATCACACAGCCCGTTCCAGCAAACCCTGGAATTGTGTAGGGACGAATACCTGAAGGTAAACGACAATCCATTTCCACTCCTGTATTTTTTCCGAAATCTGGGTAATCACTATGTTGACGGAGGAGGGACTGAGAAAGCCACTCGTGCTTATGAAGCTGGATTAGAGGTCGTCGATTACCTGATCTCAGACGCTCCAGACCAAGTGAACGCTCGGGGGGAAATGATGCTGCACCTTGCCAATGTCCACAGACTTCAAGCTTTAAAAAACACAGGAAAGGGCGAAATGGAAGAAAATCGCTTGGCAGAGAAATACTACAAGTTTGAAAATGGCAATGGGACAGAAAAGAGTAGTATTCATAAATACATTATGTATGCTAATTTTCTGTGTAACGAAGGGCGCTTTGAAGAAGCCATTGTCGTTCTAAATCAAGCAATTGAAGCAGACGACAAGCTGTGGTCAACAACCGTCATTTGTTCATTTTCACAACGTGTTCTTTATGGATCGGATGTTAAAAAGTACATTGAATCTGACGGTGAACTGCTCACAAAGATGGGAAACTTGGCGTACACATCACTAGTTCGCGCGTATGTTCAACTTGGAAACGGAAGAGAGGCATGCAAAGCGTTAGACATACTGTTAAAAAATGGCGAAGATTTGCCTCGCAGTGCAATCTACACAACATCCTGTCTTTCACATCTTATTGCCTTCTGCCAGAAATATTTAATGTCGCTTATTAAAGATCCCTCGAAATTATCATTCGACGATTCAGAATTTCCACTGTCACGTGGAAATTTTGCGAAATTGTACTACGAGTTGGGTGAATACGAACTGGCGCTTAATTTGTGTGAGGAGTGGTTTACCGTATCACAACCTACTAATGAAACAGAATATCTGAACAAGCTTTCGAGTGTGCGTGTTACAGCAGATGCATTGGTTATGATGGGGAGAGGTGATGAATCTATTTTTTTTTACCGTATGTTTCTTGTGACGCTGGATCAGTGTGAAGGGATTCTTTTTAAATCATTTGATGAACAACATGCTATTATTTCTCAGCTCTCATTTCCGGAATCAAGATACGTTTACCTGGCACTGGGGAGGATGATGCTGAAACACCAAGATAAGATTGATGATGCAATAGCATGCTACGAGCATTGTGTAGGCCTGGATCCCAGTGACGACAGCGATCTAGACTGGATGGGAACTCTGGCGGACCTTTATCAAACCAAAGCTTTCACAAATGGTAAGGAAGATAAGGCGATCTACCAGAAGTGGATGGGCAAAGCTCAAGAGTGTTTCCAGAAACTGATCAACAAAAACATAAAAATGACGTCATTGCTTCTGACCACCTTTGCCTCATTTCTTCTCCGAAATAAACAATTTGCCGAAGCAATTTCCCACTTTGAGGAGCTGCTTGCTGGTGAAACAAACTCTGTGATCTTTTACGCTCAGGTTGACATACCTTTGTCTGGCGTTCACATAGCGAGAGAAATTAGAGAAAGAGGGACTTTTTGTTTAGAAGTGAAGGTCCATATTTACTATCTTATTGCGCTGGCGTATTTTCAATGTGGTAAAATTGAGAAAGCACAAGAATGTGCGCTGGAAATGGAGAAATATATCGAGAATTTTCGGTGTACACCATTATATTACCTCAATGGTCGTTCTTTACTTGCGTATACGTACAAAGAAACTGGAAACGAAAGAAAGGCAATGGAAATATTAAAGAAGGTGTTGGAGATTCAACCAGGTAACATGCCTGTGAAACAGGCGTTAGAAGAATGTGCAACTATTGCAGCAACAACATCAAGTTGAAATTAACGTTAACAGATACGTCACAGAACCGCGACACGTGATCCTTAAAAAACTTTATTATGGTTGAAAAAATCCTCTTTGGGGGAGGGGGGGGGGGGGTGGTGGGGGGTGGACGAGTTGTGCCACGCAAGGGAATTGAAGTGAAGACACATCTCTACCGGCGAAATTTAGGCTTCCAGGATTTGTCCAACCATGGCTACGCTCCTCTTGTCCAGCCTTGGCTACGTTCTTGGTTAGAGTCAGGGGTGAGAGCTTGTTAAACACGAATATTTGTGGAAGAAATTAAGAAAAAAAGAACAAGAGTAGAGAATTTTGTCCCGTTCCGTTCTTTTCAAAAACTGTCAAAAGAGGCTTTAATGCGTCTACATTAAGAAGTCGGCTGAACCTGTTTTTTAAAGTTAGTACTCAAATTAGTCGAATACGCGTGGTTTGAATAGCCAGCAACATTCCATCATTACATTATAATCACATTAATTTTAATGTAATATATCTAGTTAATGTTAGTTATTAAGTTCATAAAAAGATACTGTATGAGTGACTGCTAATCAGTTGAGCGTCCAGAGAAGTGCGAGACAGAACGAACAGTAGATTGGAAATAACTGTGTAGTAGACAAAATCCTACGGGGATCCACAATTAAGGTACTGAAATTTAACTGTTTGCATGTACATTAGTGTTTATGTTTAAGTTTAGTTTGATTCATTGTAAGAAGTAAGAAAATGACTGGAATGCATGTATCTTTATATCTTTTACTTATATAGTTAAACTTAATAATTTTATTATCAATAAAAATTAATGAAATTCCCGTTCGACTTGCGTTAAAGTAGAAATGCCAAACAACGCGTAAATATACGACGGATGTAGCTGTAATGGTAATTAGAGTGATAATTATCACTAATATTCTTAGTACTGCACGAGTAGTATTGCACCGGCATCGCAAAAGAGCGTAGGTTCGATTCCTGCCGGAGGACCTATATATAGTTGACTTATTTTCCCATCAACTGTTCCTGAGTTGAATTTGAAGTGTGTATAATTCCACTTGAAATTAAGACCCTTGAAACCTAGTATTTATGATTTATATATTATTCCCACACTTCGTTTTTGCTCAATTGTATATATCCAGCAACAGAAAATTCAATAAAGAAAGCAGTCACGATAACGAGTTAGCAATGTATTTTCAATGTACAATGTATTTTCCTGTGTTGTAATGTAATTGTTGATGTATTTTGTATGTTCATGTTTGGTTACAATGTAAAAACTTGCATGAAATTTTTATGAGTGGTTGAACTTTACATTTATTTCCGATAACTGCTTTCTAAATATTTTGAACTTTAAGTATTATTTTGAACCTTTGTTGTTTGGTATAAAATAGAAGCTAAGTTTATATCTAGACTACTCTTTACCAAAAGGGGGGGGGGATTCTGCATTTTTCATACAGTGTGCAGGGGGTGTTATGACATTTTGTATTTATAATAAGGGGGGTCCTGGTAATTTTACTTTAAATGTTGTCGCTTCCCCCTCCACGGGCATAAATAATGAATGTTCCGTAACGTTGCGATTCGGTTGCGATCAACCGATAGAAATCGCAGACTACCCCAAGGGAATCCGTGATTGTGGGTTTCAGTTGTTACAAAAATCCGCTGGTTATACAAAGGCTTAGTGAAATAAATGCTAGTGGGATATGTATCAGGTAAGAAGCCTGTTTAATTATTATGGGGGTGTATAATATACAGAGTTTATTTCGTTAACTTCATGGCTGCAGCTTCGGAAGGTGATTCAATCCTTGGCCGTAATAAAAAGATAAAATTCATTGAACAATTAAAATTTATCTCACATCCATCGTCAGGTTTTTTGTACTTGCGTATACACACGCGCATAAAAGTTAAATTAGACGCTATTAAATGATATACTTATGAAATCGACGATTGAATTGATGCATAGGGCTGGTTTCCGTTGATGATTTGTTCTGATTTTTCTGGCATAAAATTAATTATACAACTAGAAAATACATGCATGCAGCAACCCCTCGCTATTTCAAACCAAGTACACAATTTCTTGAGCTAACGTGAACTAAACTTATATTATGAAATGAAACAAATATATCAAATCAAATATATCTCAAATATATTTTACCGAGAATATTATAGCAAATGTTTCGATCATTCAATACAAAAATAATCATTAAGCTAGTGTAAACATTGCCCGTTCAATTTTGTATCTTTGCTGCATTATATAATGGCAGCCATTAAGTAATGGTTTAAAATCGAATTTTCAAACGATTAATTATAAATAGTACAAAATATTCAGAGACAAAGAAAAAACCTCAAACGTTATTTTATTCTGTATAATGCAGTCGACGGCTATAAAAAGTTTTATACTTTAATATTGTGTATTTTCGATATCAAAATTCAAATTACATTTTCAAAAACACTTTTTGAAGTTAAAGCAAAAGAGTAATAGCCTTTCACAGGTTTATGCGTTTGCGTAAAAAGCTGAGAATTACACAAAGATTAAAATTAAACAAATATAAACGGCATGTAAAGCTAAAAATTATACAAATACAGCTCATCCTAAATACCGCGAAACAAATACGAAATAAACAAAGTAAACACGCACCTTTTGAAAACACTTATAAGCTGGCAGATTATGAATTATTTCTCTTACACCCCTTTTTTGCTATATCTGTCATGCTTCGTATATCTTGTTTTTTTCTCGTTGTATTTTGCACAAAGTTTATGAAACGCTTTTACAAAAAGGTTTACAAAATGACAGTTCAATTGCTGACGTTCTCAATGAAAGATCACAAGTCCATGATATGGTTTGATTAACTGAATGTAACACAACTTAACAGTGGTGTACTGTAACTAAAAAGCCCCATACTCATCAAGCCAATTTAGAGATGTAAAAAACATGTGGCACTTGGACAATGTTTCCTGGTGCTTTTGCTAATATCAAGTGGTCGAAAAAGTTGAGTTAAACACCAATGATTAACCTATAATTAGAAAGTTTACAAACCTATTCTATGTTAGGAGTATTAAAATGATTTTCTAATTCTGCAAGAGTATTGAATGCGATACCACATAAAGAGCAGACATATCCAATGTTGGTAAGCTGTGTCTTCAGTTGCAATTCCTCAGAGCAGACATCAATCTGGTGGCTCTGGCCAGACATATCACACTCTTTCTTAATGTGCTGCATCAAGCATTTGCAATCAGGAAGTTATATGTTGCATAAACCTGTTTCAGTAGAGTCCTTTTTAGTACTACCTCTTAATTCCTCAGGTGGACACATGTTTTTTTCCTGGCGAGTCTCACATTCATACTTTCCTGCCTCATGCAACCTGGTTATAGGCGAGGTATACTGCCTGTGGTTGGAAACATCACTTTCAGTTTGCTTTTCTGTAGAATGCTTTCTTTTCTTTCTTTCAAATCCTTTCAATTGTATTTTGACAAACAATGCCTTACTGTTCTGCATAAAATGCGCTGCCATACTGAACGTTCTTGTACAGCATTAAAGAAGGTCACACAGGTCCATTTCCGCACCGTGTACTTGTGAAAAGACAAAGTATGCTAGTCCTTCTAGAGCATTTTCTTTCTTTGCGTATTTTTCTAGCAAACGGTTCCTCTCATTTAAAAGAAAATGGCGATTTTTCGCTCGTACGATATTTATGAAAGATAATAACGTGGACCTTTCCAAATCGCAATCCTTCGTAACAACTAGTGCTTCCACCTACTAATATTCGCATTTCATTTTCATTCCACAGACACAGATACGTATATATATATATATATATATATTATATAATATATTATATATATATATATATATATATATATATATATATATATATATTTATATATTTATATATTTAATGGTTTCATCAAATGGCAGTAGAAAACATCCCAAATTGAAATCAGAATTTTTTTAAAGTAGATGTTGATCGTACTCCCTTTCCTCCGTAGAGATCTGATGTATTAAATTATATTGAAGTATGGGTTAGCAGTTTAACTCAATGACAATGTCGATATATAATTTTTATACACATTAGATCGAAGCCTGCGTTGGAGGCGATGTTAAGGTGGTCTTTGCAGTCAAAATTTTTCTTTAACTTTGGATAACGTTATATTTTATCCTTCCTATATTACCGAGCAGGTAATTCTGAGCAAAAAAGAGTTGTACGAGTGTGCAGTAACCATAGTTACGAACAACAGACATACCCAATGATGGAAGATATTAGATACAAGACTATTGTAAACATGTGCGATAGAAATGGTTTTATTTAGTTGTAAATATTTTGGCACAATAGATGTATCTTTGAGTATAGAATAAAGCTTCCGAATTGAACAAGTTACAGTTGCATATTATTAATTTCGAGAGGCTTCGAGCAAGTTTCAAACTTCTTGTGAGAGTTGTAGTTGGTTCCAGAGCCAACTAACTGGCCAGTTTTACTAAAATTTTGATGTCATTTTGATTTCAATCTTTGCAGTGATTATAAATACTCAATGTTCTGGGAATTGAACCCCGAGGCCAGTGAATTTTAAAGTATTTGACCTATTTACCTTCGAATTTGACCTATTTACCTTCGTGTAATAGAACAACGTTATTAACGCAAATTAAACGAGTTGAGGCAGAATAACCTAATTAATAATGTAATAAATAATAAATAGTTTAAACCATGCATGAAATCGTAAGAATGCCAGGACAAGTGAAAACCATTCTCTTCTCGGCTCATGCAGAGATGGTGGTTGCTTCGTTTGGCCCCACAATCATGGACACTGTTTTTTTAAGGAGGGAAACCGGAGTACCCGGAGAAAAACCCTCCACCGAAATCGAAATGCCAAAGTTCCGAAACCTATAAGGACCCCCCTAAAAGTAGCCACAAAAAGTTTAAATGTTTTATTATTTTAGAGTAATTAGATATCTATTTACAAACTACAGCCTAAAAAAAGAATAACAAATGATCATATATGAAAAAAAATCGCCGCAGTATTGATTGTTGGAA